TGTAGCACGTGCGGAGGAACAAGCTGGGCTATGTGAGCGTCAAGCTGCTCACGTCCTTCAAAAAGGTGAGGTGTGCTCGGGAGCTGCTTCGAGGCTTTCAGTGGTGTTGGAGTTATGCTTTCAAATTCCTTTTTTATTCCCTTGAAACCCCATGACTAGCTGTTTTTATTTTCTTCGAGGCTTGAAAAAGAGAAAAATAATCAAGAGAAAGGATTTAGGATCTTTATTATTATTATTTTAAGTTTGCTATAGGGCACATGCACTCACCAGAGATGGGGTGAGTAGGGAGGAGGAATGAGAAATCACCCTCAGAGGAGATGACCAGGCCATAATCCCTTCTCCACTCTCAGGACTTTGGGCATGCGTGCACACGTGGCTGGCATGTTTTTTGAGCCACTGGGTCCAGGACTTGAACCATGTAGTTGGCCAGGCAGGATCCCGTCGCCTTATCCTCCATGCCACCTGCTGGCCCAGGATGGTTATTAAGAATGTATTCTTGGGGCCAGCAGGTGACATAGTGGTTACGGCACTGGACTCCCAACTGGCCAATTGTAGTTGGAGTCCTAGATCTAGTGGCCTGAATCTTAAGCTGGACACGTGTGCATGCACGCCCAAAATTCTGAGAGGAGAATAGAGGAGAAGGGATTGCGGCATGGCTATCCCCTAGGGGGAGTGATTTCTCACTTTCCCTCTCACTGTCTCTCTCTCTGTTTCTCTCTAGTGAGCACATGCACCCTATGGCAAAAACCTTAAACACACACACACATACACACGTACATATAAATATACTCCCACACCATTAAAAGGGTTATAGGCGCTGGGACAGATCTCAGCCGAGGGTAGTTACGAGTCACTCTTGTCCATTGTAAAATGCAGGTAGGTGGTGGTGACCAGGAGCATGCTGTGAGGACAGGGCACTCGAAGGCCTTTAACAGTACCGGTCAGGCCCGGAATTGCATGCACCGAGCTTTTAGTCTGTCAGGCTGAGGAAATGCGGGAGGGGATGAGTGTGCAGAACTCCAGGAGGTGAAGCTCACCAGGACTCCAGCGTGCTCTCGTACATGCCGCCCACATCCTCCACTCTGCCGCTGGGACGGGAGATGTTTAAGAGTGGCTGCCATCGGGACCAGCAGTTAGCATAACGGCTATGTCGCTGAACTCCCACGTAGTCGACCACCGTTCAAGTCCCAGACCTGGTGGCTTAAAACTCACGCCGGGCGCGTGTGCATGCGTGCCCAAGATCCCGAGAGGAGAATGGAGGAGAAGGGATTGCAGCGTGGCCATTCCCCCCGGG